CTTGCGGTTTCTAAAGTGTGTTCGATGTTAATTTGCTGCCGTTTATTGTTGTTTATATTTCTGTTCATGCGGTGTCTGGAGTATGTCTGGGTTGTGTGCTGCATAGTGAATTTTTGGCTATTTTTGCAATTTGTACAGTGTTTTCGGCACCAGCATGCAGTCTCGTATTGTTTATATCGTACTGTATTTGCGATTTGACTGGCTCTTAGTGCGGCGCATAATATTCTGCAGCTCTGGTATTAGACCCTAGTCTTAATTGCATTGCTTTTGAATGCTGTATCCTTTCTGTGTGATTGTCATCGATTTCGGACTGATTCATACTAGTTTACTGGACAATCCTCTGGTGCAAGGCTGTACTCTCGTAGCATACTTTGCCACCTTTGGATACTATTCACGGCATTATCAGCGGTAGTACATAGAATGTCTGTAGTAGTACCATATACTTACATGTGGTTGTATGTGCATTCGTTGGTAGTTAAGCGTCTCGACGTCTACTTGTAAAACCCCTCAAAACAATGTACCCTGTCCACAATTGCAGATTGGGTTATCAAACACCCTCGCTGAATCCTTCTCAAGTTGCGTACTCTATTCGTACGGTTGCAGAGTGTAGTATCAGACATTTTAGGAACCTTTGCCGAAATCCACTTGAATAATTCCTGTACAGAGTGACGTACCAAACACTCGCTACATTTTGACCTCCTTATCTCTTTTTGCGCGCCTAACTCTCGATATTGTACTTGTTTACTTATTTGCTGATTAGGTATCACACATTCTCACTAAACCTTCATTAAGTTACATCTATTGATGCTTTTGTAGAGCTATTTGACAGATACTCACTCCAAATTTGCTTCATTTTGTACCTTATTTGTACATTTACAGAGTTGTGTATCACACATTCTCGCTAAACCTTCATTAAGTTGAACCATTGAAGCTTTTGCAGAGCTATCGAACAGACACTTTCGCTAAATTTGCTTCATTTCGTACTTTCTTTATACATTTACAGAATTGTGTATCACACATTCTCGCTAAACCTTCACTTTATCTTTCTATGCATGCTGTTGCAGAGTTAAATATCAAACCCTCTCACCGCGAAACTTCATGACTAAACTACTGCCGCTTTCGGCCGTACGAGTCGTAGCTATGATCCTAGGTACCTTCAGTATACTCCTAATGCCCGTCTCATATGCCCACACTATTAAGGTATGTTTCATTGTGCATGCATGTTGGAACTGTTTTTCTACTTTATTGTATGTACTTTGACATATGCTTGGGTATGCACAAGGCGGTGGCTATGATCCTGGGTATCTTCAATAATTTCTGTTATACGTGTCATATGCCAACATTTTCAAAGTATATTGCACTGTGCATGGATGGAATACACTATTTTTTGTACTGTATTCGTACGCACATAGGCAGACGTATATATATATATATATATATATATATATAAATATATATATAAATATATGTATACATATAGTATCTGTGATCCTGTGTACGGTTAGTATACTCGTGATGTATATACTCATACTATCGAGGTGTCTTGTGTATAGTGTATTGAAGGAATATCCGATTTTTGTACTATATTCGTGGTTGTATGTGCATATGTGTGAGCTTGGACGTATACAAAACGTAGAAGTCACGATTTTGGGTATCATCAGTAAACCCGTATGCCCCCGTCTCATAAAACCATCCCACCAAGGTATGCTGTATGGTGCGTGCGTGTACTACACTGTTCCTAGTACTGTAACGTAAATGCATGGACAAATGCCAGTGTTTGTGCGTGTACAAGTACGCGGTAGCTGGGACTCTTGTATACGCCCGCACCTTAGTCTTTGACCTCTAATCAGACGTATATATACAACTGCGCTTAATACGCGCTAATACAAAAAGTTCGAGCTTTAAGGATCGGTACCATCACAATATTCTTGTTGCCTGTCTCATTCGCACATCACCAAGGCGTGCTGCATTGTACATTGATAGAATATTCCAAGAATTAAAACTCTAATTTTGCGTATGTGGAAATATGTGCGTGTTACGCATGTACGAGTCATTGTACATCAAATAAAGCTACTTGGTGGAGTGTCTTATCCCGTGGTAGTCCTAAAACATACGTAGTTGCAAAAATATCTAGTAGAACACACTGCATATGTACCGAAGACACACATTCACCAATTGAAGAGGTAGGTAACCATGCCCTACTCAGAGTACTCCACTTATTTACTCGGAAACCAAGGTAACAGAACCCACTGCCCCACTGTCTCAATAGAAACTCGTACACTTCCCCATGGACTTTGGGCTAACTTCTCCAAGCGATATCCATCTACAACGCGTTAGCTACAACTTAGACCCACATACATTGCATAAGTTCACACACATTCATCAGTGCTCATCTTCAACATGTGTACGTATGCGCACATACACTTACATACACGTATGTGTACCTTACAGTTCATGCGAATGGTGCACGATATGAAGTATACAGAAATGCCTGAGCTATGCACATTTAAACTGTCGCTCACTCCGACCGTTCTTGACACTCACACACCTAGGCGATCAGTCCGGTGTGCACTGTGGCCATGGCTTACATTATACTGAGGGAGAAGCCCACGCCCGCCATTGTGATGTCATTGCTTCCGATTGTCATTGGAATCCTTATTGCCACTGTCACGGAAGTTCACTTCGACCTCACGGGTATGTCCACGCTTACGAACATATGAAAATAAATTGAAGCTACTATGCAT